GCCGTTGGACGGTCGACTCGGAGAAGTTTGAGCCCTGGCAGATGTAGCGTGCTGTCCAGAGGTGCTCACTAAGCCAGGTTTCAGTGAAGCACTGGGCGGGGGATCTGCTGAAGTCCGTGTGAGCTTTGTTGAAGAGCAGCAGTTCATCCATCGTTTTGGACAGAGAGTGGACGTTCTCCAGATATATTGATGGAAGCGCCGTTCTAAATCCCCTTCGGCACAATTTAACAAGCGCTCGTTTGTTTACCCCATCGGTGTCACCAGCAAAACCTGAGGAAAGCAGTTGCTCCTCTAACCAAAAGCTCTGTGAAACACTGCGAAATAGCCTAACCAGCATATTGTCCAAAAACAAAAACGAAAGAGTACAGGGGAACTCAGTACCGAGACTGCCATGCGCAGCGCTATCTTGGGTATAAGACAAGAAAATGAACATAGCATTTCATATCATGGGTTTGTCACAGCTTTGCAAATAAACAACAGCCTTCTGCTAACAAGTTTGATGACAGCTGTGAAATGGTTTTGTTATAATATTACCCACCAGTATGTTTCTAATATAATATTATTTTATCATGGGACCCCTTTACAGGTTAGACTGTTTTTATGTCCTGAGCAACCACTCCCTTTCAGATAGGGCTTAATTTAGAATTGCTGATTCATTATACAGTATGTGCATGCATGGCTTCTGCCTCTTCCTCTTCCTCTTCAATGTCCCCCCATAACCTTAAAATCAATGGTGAACAGTAGCAACTAAAAATCTTTTCTGAAATGCACACAGGCAGCCAAAGAGCTGGAATGACCCTGAAACTACATCTTTTGGCCTTAGTTGAGTTATTTATGCCTTCGCCTTTTATATCATATTGATTAGAGCTTTTCGTGGGTTTAATATGAGGTTCTTGCCTCAGTGGAAGTAAAAAAAAAAGGCTGTTATAGGTTTAATTTGATTCCGGGCAACAATTCTCCATCGTAATGATATTTGGAGATGTTACTCTGCTCCTACGTCCTCTCTTTCTTGCCCTGATTGCTGTTACTCCCCAACCACAGACAGACCCCAGGTCAACTCCAGCATTCTCCCGATTTAGCTCTCAACATCTCTGCTCTAGAGAGAAGGACAAACTTCAATATGTGTGTAAGAGCAAATCAAATAAAGCATCAGAACGGTCTCTATCATATTGCTAAATTCATATTTAGCTTATATCAGGGTCTGAGTAGAAGTATGGGATCTGACACTGAGGATCTGGATGAGTGTCAGTCTGAGCAAATTACCTCCATCCATCCAAGCCCATTCCTTACATACAAATCACAATTTTAAAAATATCCTTTTATTAAGTTGTAGGACATCTAAATGTTGGAGACAATTTTACGCTTTTCAATTTGAATGTATTGAAACTGTGTGGAATAGTGAATAGTGTGGATTTCCTCTAACTGAGTCCAATAGATTCTAGGTGTTGGTACTCGATGGATATAGCTAGAAATCTGTCATGTAGTAAAGAGCGTGTGTTTGGGGTTAGGAGGGAACTCTCTCTGAACACTTTTCTCTAATGTACTGAACCAACTTGTGAATTAGACTAATGCTAAATTACTAATCAAAATAATGACACTAAGTACATATAATTACTCATAGCAATGGACAAGCTGCATCCTTCTACTGTGAGTTGAGCTCAGACATTAAAAGAATACTACAAACAATAAATATTAGTTTAAACTGTGATCTCAGCAAGGCCTTCGTCAACAACAAGGCTTTCAACAAGGCTTTCATTGCACCTTGACGTAATTAAATTATCTCTAACTGGACCTTGGTTAATATTAATTAAATGCCACTGATCACTAGTATTAATCCTGTTAGATTGTATTTTTTCTGTGGATTCCCACAATACAAATAGTAAATAATAGTACTACTAATAATAATATAAGCTAAGATTATGAATAAATGAAACAGTTGACACTATTTTTTACTTTATACTAATCAAACACTAATTACATGAAATGAAGTAGCCCTGGCAGAAGGCAAAGGGATCAAAAGTGAGTTCATCTTTTAATTTGTTTCCATATGCTTATTTATCTAATTTTCATGACTGTAAATGACTCATTGTTTGTCTGGAGAAGCTGCAGAAATAGCTCAACAATATGAACATGTACTTTGAGCTCTGCGTCTTGCAGTGTGAATAATTTATGCGATTTGTTTAAGTAATAATCCCTCTTAATGCATCTTCTACCAAGAGGAGGAATAGATGCAGAAGAAGTTGCTTAAAAGCATTCGAGGCGATGATGGGAATGGAGACGGTGGCGAGTGCTGGGGGAGTTATTGCTCCACTTACTTTACAAACTGAAAATCTCATTAAGTGTGACACTGAAGATTAGTTTAGAGGGACCAAAGTGGAAAGAAAACAAACTCACAAAGGGGCTGTGAGGGGGCTTTGGCTTTGTTTGCCATCATTAATTCAGCATTGAAACAGCTCAAGGGAAGCTCTGAGCCGTTGATCAGAAGAGCCGCAAATATAACAGGCGAACAGGTGCCCTCTTTCCTCTCCAAACACTTTTCCCGCCTAGCTCCCCTCCTCGGGTCTTAATTGAGGTGAGTTGTGTATTTGGGCCATCTGCATGCTGACAAAATAAAGCCGGCTTTGATTTATGGTACCTTGGGACATATTAGCTTCTGAATATCCCCAGCCAGAATCTCAAGCTTGTAAACACCAAGACATTGGTAGTGAGAATGGATTTGAGGTTTTACTAAGATCTATAAAGATGATCTGAACCAAGACTGAAATACACAGTTTTTGTATAATAAAATGAATTCTCATTACATGTTTCTCTCACTTTTATAGGTTCAAGAATGTATATCAATATGTATTGTGATTTCGCAAATTGCACAACAAATGCCTTCTCACCTGATGCTGATCTGCCTCATCATTGGTTGAACAGAGGGATGGGGTTTGATCTGCACTACTCTTTGCACAATGTATCTGTAACGTAACTTATAAAAGAGGGGTTTCCCTTTGCGGATGACTCCTAACAACCTTCAGACCTACCATCAGTTCCACATAAAGATGGACAACAAGACAGCTAGCCGCCCCAATGTTTGCGTATACAACATGGGTTGAACATACATTTTCAAGTGTTGGTTTTCCTGATTTGTATTAGTTATTTGATGTTATATAAATCAAGTTGTGGCGATGCCACTGGAGATGATTGGGTCGTGCGGGAGTTTACTGATTACTACTGCAGACTCTGGTTCCAAATGACCTCCACATTTCAGGGTGGAAGATTTAGGGTATTTTGGCATAACGTCTGTACAGGGGAAGAGACACAAGATCTATTTCGAGATCTATTGATAAAATCTATGGGAGGGCAGATCAGTAGCTCTTTACAGCAGTGCGGCAGCAAGCAATAGTGGTTTAACAAAGTGTCAAATAATATAATTGAGAAAAAATTGAATTACTAAAACTTTGAGTAAAACGTTATTGAAAAATTTAATTAAATCTACAAGATATTTAGTAAATCCAAATCAATTTCACAAGTAAAATTGATTCCTGTTTACTTAGAATAGCATCAAAAGTAATTCATAATGAATGTACATTTGGGTGCAATTGACTTATGTTAACTCAATAAAGAAATTTAAATTACATTTAAATTTTTTTTACATTTATCTTTAATTGGAATTGGCTTATATTTTGTGACTATTTTAGGTGAAATTGGTTTATATTTACTTATTATTTGGGTAAAATGAATTTTTAACTACTGAATATTTGAGTGAAATTGAGTGTTATATTACTACTAATCTTGGAAAAATTGAATTTGATTTACTGAATAAAATAAGTCACCAACTCACACTTTTTTTTGTTAATCTATTGAAATCTATTCAATAACATTACTTTGTTATTGCCACAATTCTATGTCTAATTCACTCAATACATCTTGGTGATGTAGTAAAGTTAACAAACAGATCATCATACGTAAGTACAGGAGGTTAACATTTATTTGTGCAAAAATTTGTATAAACAGGAAAATCTGCATTAAATGAGCATGGTTTGTATACATCTGAACAACACAAAAAAATCTGCATTAAAACTAATAGCAATACTAAAACTGAACACCAGAAAAACAAGAGGCAAACCTAAACTTCATCTTTATCAATTTTAAAAGGTACAACTAACAAGCATTGAACAAACATAAACCACATTTGAGACAGTTTTGAACAGTCCAGTTCCAGGAAAACTTTCTGGAACACCTTAAATGTGTTTAAGTTTCTTCTTTGAGTGTGCAAGATTGACTGCATGCGCAAACCCAACCAGCAGACAGCAAGCCCTTTAAAAGTGCCTCACTGCAGTCAGAACTTTTAGTTCATCCAACACGTTTCCGACGTCTGGACTCTCTGACTTGTCTTGTTTCTGTAGAATCTACAGTGTTGATTTTCATCTTTTGTAAGGTCCCGTGAAACAGTGTCTTCATCAGCATCCTGAAATAGCATGAAGATAGTATAAGTGTTCATTACTTTTCAATATTTAGATCATTAAAGACGTTTTAGTGGACTGCTATATATTCTGAGGTGATACTACATGTATGTAAATATGCAGTACAACAAATCAAGACATTCTAACTTTGAACATTCTAAATTTGAATAATGTGGTACCTGATAAAGTGTCAACTGAGTCTATGGCAACGAAAATGTACTCAGATGACACTTTTGATGCAGAGTAAATCAAAAGGTAAACATTACCTCCAGCAGATGTAAGTAATAAGCAAATGATATTTCAATAAAAATAATAAAATATTGCCAACATAATAATGCATGACACCTTTAGTGAGATGCCTTTATCGTCAGCCCCATGGCTGCACCATTGAGTGGATGAAACGTGTTAACATGAACATCCAGAGATCCTTCGCTCCCAAACTTTTACCTGTCACAGAACAAAAACTCCCTAAAAAACCCTACAAAATGGGGGAAAATAGGAAGAAATTTGTTAAGAGAAGAAAAAGACTGAAAACCTTCTCCCACATGCTAGGTGGATGGATTAGCATCAGCGGGTGGATCGTCTGCAGGGAGTGGACCAACTGCAGGAGGTGGACGATCCGGATCATATGAAGTGGATGGACCATTTGGATCATCTGAAGTGGATGGACCAGTAGATGCAGACTGCAGCTCAGTATTTGGCCTGTCTGACACCTAGGAAGGTGCGAACGCTAAAATATCTCGGTTATATGGGAAAATCCCAGTGACTTGATCAGACCAGAAGTGATATTCCGTGGTGTACTGCTGACAAGAAGGCCTCATTCACAAGTCCTGCAATCTAGTAGATGGAGACTGTTTTGCCAGGGTTAGATCTCATCCACCCATCAAGGGCTCGGCTGTATAGGGTCTTGAACGGGCCATACACGGTCACGTCGAGAGGCTGCATGCGATGGCGTGTGCGAGGTGGAAGGGTGAGCAGACCAATACTGTTGCTCTTTGTTTTTTTTCACTGCCTTGAGTGAGATGTGAGCTTTACAATTATCAAGGATTAGCAGCATAGGATGGTCAGGAGTGAACCTAGTGTGCTCTATCGGGTGATCAAGGATCTCAGGTCAGGTGTCTTCATTCATCCATCCTGGTGGAGGCACCTTTGGCACCTGGAGGTGCCTAACTCTGAGGATAGACAAACATGGGGGACACTTTATCCCATAGCATTTGTCTCACTTTACCCCACAGCCACCAATTTAGAAAAAACAACATCTCTTAGCAATTCAGACTAATCTTCAGCTAGCATCAATCACATGGTTTTATATGTTTGAAGTTCATAGACATGTATGATATATATTTTTCTACCTGAATCATTTCGTTTTGACAACAGTTGAATAAGTTCACAGCAAGATACAATTGCATACATACATACTTACCACAGCACCAGCACCAACTTCTTCTTCTTCATAGCAAGGGGGAAATGGGAGGGGCTTGAAAATATAATGGTCACAATGTGTTCCGTTGCCTAGATACAGAGGGTGTCTCACATTACCAGGTGTTACCCCACTCTCCCCTATTGCGGTCTCTCTGTGTGCTGCTGTTTCTTAGCTAAAGCTAGCTAACTAGGTTAGCTTGTCACAGAAACTATGAAACAACATGACGACATGATAAAAAACACTAACGTTAGCTTAATGACTTAAATACATTTGCAGCGCAGTAAAGTTGGCATGTTTGTTAACTTTGCAGAAGAGCAAAAAACCTGCTTCACAACTTGTTACACAGGTTTTACCTTCAGGAGAACGCAGCCGTCCATGTGGTTCAAAATGCGTCGGACGGAAGTGTAACTCAATCAAAAACAAAGACCTCCAAATGAGCAAAATGCATCAATTTCCTGCATGTTAAACTTGGATGTCAAGATGTCATGTCTCATTGGATGTCCAATATCATATGACGACTTAAAGTCATCCATATTCAAGGGTTTTTGGACTGGACTACGAGGTACGCTGTACAATCACTGCAGAGATGGTGATGGCCTGAGCCACCCACTGAGTCCTTAAACATTGAGTTTCATAATGGCTCGAAACTATGTCCAATTCAATGCAACTTATTTTATAAAGCCCAAAATCACAATGGTCTCAGAGGGCTTTACACTGTGTACACATGTGACATCGTTTGTCCGGGAACCCTCAATAGTACTGGAAAATATCCCCGAAATAAAGGAAGAAACCTTAAGGAGAGCAACAGAGGAGTGATGGACAGTTAACGGGGACATGTGCCTTGCACTGTTCATCACAGGCCACGTTCTTTGTTCTCTTTGTAAGTTTATACTTGGCAAATGGGAAACTCTATTAGATGAAACATGTTGTTGAAATAGCCATTTTAAAAGTCCTTAATTTGCTGTATTGATGGATCGTGATCAATAAATGTAAGGATGTTCAGCATTTCTTTTATTCTGGCTGAAATCTTGTAGTCATTATTTTGTAATTACCTAAGTTGTACATTTTTAGAAACTCACTTAAATGAATATGCTACAGGGTTTTGCAGCGTGTTCACTTATGAGTGTACAGTCTGTGAGCCAGACTCGTTTTTTTAGTGCTTACTCTGCTGAAGTTGAGGTTAATTGTGCATATATTCAGGGTCAATCCTCCTCAGTCCTGTTCTCCCTCTATTGTAAAGCTAACATCCTAAAATTCTCCTCTTTTTCTTTCTACCTTTCTCTATCCATTCTCTGGAGCTTTTGTGAGGATTCTTTCATGCACCACATAGTGCTCAGGCCTTCATTCTTGGACGAGCCTTTCATCCATGCCCTGCTTTGCAGCTCTCTTGGCCTGATTTTGTTGCTCGGAAATGTTCAAAGGATACAGAATATCTGAAGCTCATCTCAGATCTTTTGTCTTCAGTAGTAAAATTATTGAGATAGTCTGTACAAACGTTTTACTGGTACAGTCTTTACTTATGCAATTTTCTTCTCCAGTCACTGAGTTTCAAATTACCATAGAGGTCACAACACAACATGGATTGCAATCCAAGTGTTTGATATATTGCCCCATTCTTCAGCTGTTGGCAATAACACCGCCACATCAATAATACCTGTGTGTTAAGCAAAAAGCGACAAGTTAATTAGAAGAACAAGTGATAGAAATTCCTTCTGAAAAGGGCACAGTTTAGGGCAGTGGTTCCAACACTCGCCATCACCAACCCATTTTTATGTCAGAGGGGGTGGTGCGGATAGGCAATGTCTCTATATCCTCAAAGGGGTCCCTGACAGAAAAGGTTTGGGTACCACTAATTTAGGGCACCAGGGATAAATATATGTGGATGACTCTGTATCGATACTGTGTATCCAAATTAAACATCAAGTGTTCTTGAAGGTAGGTGTAAAGATGGATTTCTTCATTTTGGTAGGTGTGATGCCAGTGATTTTTTACTTTTAGGCGCTTTTTATGTTCTGTAAAGTTCGATGATGTTTTAAGTTTGAGATTTAAATGTAAACACAAATTAATGTTTTTCTTTCTATATTTTACAGTACATCGAGTTGGTAACTATACTAACGTTAAAGTTAGTAACTCTGTCAAAATGTTAGGCATAATAAACTCAGTAAGAAATACGTAAAAATATAATAAGTACAAAAATACATGGCAAATTGAAGTACTCTTATTTTATTTTCCCATATACAAGTGAGTCTCCTGCATTGAACAGGTGCCTATTGAAAAAAAAAGGAATGGGAGCAGGGTAACACGCCTACCAGTGACATGAAGCTACCCAAGGACCTACGCAACTCAGACAGCAGCAACTCAATGAAATTAAGTGAACACAATTGCATGGGTGACATTAGTGTCCCAGGGTCAAAGATCTGATCGTGAGGTTGATTTCTTGGGTCACAAAAGGATTGTGACAATCCAAGTAATGCAGATTTGTTAGTATATTTAAGACTTTGTAGTATCACCCTGTTCCCTTACCAAAGTTCAATGTGACTGAAGGTGGAAAGCCTTTTGAGGCTCCAGAGGGAGCTGTGTAAAGCCTTAAAGTGATGTCATTTGAGACAGTGTGTGTTGGGGCTGAGTACTCCACGTCTGTGGTTGATTGAATAAATTTTGTTTACCAAAACCTCTGTTGCCCTCTCATCTCTGCTGTAAGCTGGATAGGCTCCAGGTTAGGTGCTTCTATATAACTTTACACATTAGAACCCCATCTGACGGGTCGTATTGTGTAAAATGTAGGATCATTGATTTGATGAGGTAGCACAATGTAAGGAATAACAACAATAACCAATTGTTGTGTGTGTGGAGGAAAGATGACCCAAAGGCAAGGGCAGGTAAAGTCTGTTTTAATCAAAACCAAGGCAAAAAATGGAACTAACTAGTTCCAGGGCGAGGGAAGAGCGCTCCAGCAGGCCACCCACGTCAAACGGGAGGCTGGGAGGAACAGAGGTTAGAACTCGGACAACACAGTAAAGCACGAACCGGCAGGGCAGGGCAGAGGATACGGGACAGCAGGTACAGGTACGTCAGGTGCGTAGTTAATACTCTGGCGGAGAACAAGGGGAAGAGGTAGGCTAGAAATGGAGCGTCTAATTACAGAAAGTAGGAACAGGTGAGGGGAAGAGAGGATGACAAGATGAGAGAATGAGAAGCAGCTGGGAATGCATGAGCAGGTGTAATTAAGTGTGTGTGTGTAAGTGAGGAAAGGGTTGGAAAGTAATAAAGGAGGAGGATACCCGGTTCATGACACAAATATGATTCTGCTGCATTAATGTTGACTTTTTTAATAACTTGTGAGTTTATCAATGTTATACAAGTGCAATGGGTGAAGAAGTGGACTACTCTAACTGATGTTGGGATCAACTTCTTATTCAGGATATATTGATTGAATTAATGTTTTATAATAGAGGGAAAAAAAATACGCTGCCTTTGCAGAGGGTTAGTAAAGGGAACATTGATATATGTTGATATAATACATTCACGCTTCAAAAATAACAAAAGGGCATTGTAAAAGTCAGTTTGACAGCAAAATCTTCTGCAATAATCCAAAATCCAAGGGAAAATTCCCATTGGCTTTTGTGAAGGGAACCAGTGCCATCCTAACTTCTGAAGTTAGCAGTGAGTCACTGTAGCCGTGATAGCGCTACCACCGGCGGGTTCCGTAAAGACGCACGGACACACGATGAGAGAAACCAGTCTTTATTCTCAAAAGGGGAGGGCAGTGAGCAGGAATGAGGTCGCTCGTCGTGCACGCTCGGCTCCGCTCTGTCCGGCTCTGCTCAGCTCTCGTGTTCTGCTCTCGGGCTCCGCTCCGCTCAGCTCTGCTCAGCTCACGTTTCCCCGACCTGGAGCCTGCTCACTGCTTTTATAGGAGACAATCAGTGCAGATTATTCCCACCTGCTTACTCCTTACCTACCAGCACCGTCCCCTGAACCACTCCCCCGCTCTCCCCCCTGCAGCTGAGCTAACCACGCCCCTCCACCACAGTCACAAATTGTGGTAAGCGTGTGTTAGCCCATGCAATATCCTGGCACAGCAACACATTGAAAGGAAACGCTATGTTGAATATTTCATTTCTTAAATCTTAGCAGAGTAACATGTCCTCACCATTAACTACAAGCGACCCTGTGTTGAACTCATATTTACTTAATGGGGGATCATAATTGTCATGTTGTTGGTCTTGATTATTTTAAACATGATAATCTCTATGAGTGACTGATTAAACGCCTGTATAAGTGTATGAAAGCATTTA